AACATCTAATTTGAACTAGTGCTGCATTCAACATACCACATGACACAAAAAAATCAATATTTATCTATATTTTTTTAATATTTGCTTTTAAATTAAGAAATTTAGTAATGTATAGTACTAAATTTGAATTATAGTCTACAGTTTGATACCAAACTTACTGACATAAATTCATGAAATAGTAGTTCAATAAAATTTTAATTGCAAGCCAACAAACAAGATGACGTCCTTTCACTCGTGACTCATCTCGAAAGGGTTAATGAAATCATCAGTGTACAATGATTAAGTTGAAAAGTATGAAATAAAATGAATAATACTGGTTTTTTCTCTAAAATAATTGCAGATTGTAACAGATAATCATAATTAATTATCTTAATAGTCTCAGCTTCCAGTCTTTCCTGTCTGCTTTCTTTTAATTTTATTCTGTTATTGTTGTATGTATGGATCCTCTTTCTGTATGGAAAGCAATAAATTACAGTGGAATGTTTTTGGTAGAGCAAAGGGTAAACAAGCAATCGGGTTATAGCCACACAAGCTTGTGAAATTTAAAGTTTGATCAGTAATGTAAGAATTTTCTAATTTTTACATTTTGATATTTTGGATAAAAAATATATTATAATAATCAAAAATCAAAGATAAAAAAACATGAAATTTAGTACGTATGATTGGACTTTGGTCTTTTGCTATCAATGCTGTGGCACAATAACATTGCTTTTTTTTCTCATTAAGGTAATTGTTTAAATAAAATTAATTAAAATTAAATATGGATTTTGGAACACAAAAAATATATTAGGCACTTGAATAGAATGTTCCAAAACTACTGTACTTTAACCTGGTTTCTAGCTAAGCTACTAACAGGTAAAAAACATTTTTCTAGCTACTTAAGAGTTGAACAACATCAATCACTAAAAATGAATCTGAGGGTAATTGTCTACTTATGGCCACCAAAATCAAGTTATCATGAAGATTATAGAATTTTGTTTCTGTTGGTTATAAACTTTTTCATCCAATAAGGACACATGGTTTAGATATAATCCTTCAAAGCTATGATAGATGGGAAGAACTTCACTGGTTGGTTTGACAAACTTAGTTAGATCTTGGAAAATCGAAAAAATACGAGGCTCAATTTTATATTCTTATATGCTAATATCTACAGCTTGTGTTTCTAATTGGTTGGACTCCTTGAAAGACATAAGAGAAGAAAGAAAATCTGAAAAGAATTCAAAACAAAAACATGTCATATTGGATAAAGAAGTAAAAATTAAGGATTTATTTAAATATTTCCATTTGAATTTAAGAAGTTAAATCTTTGCTAATGTAAAACTTTGAATTATAAACTATGTTTGTTACCTAGTTTATTAACGTACACTGATCATAAAGTTGTTTAAATTTTGAATATCACTAAAAGGTCATGACGTGCACTTTGGCCGAGTGCATAGGGTTAATCCATTACATTAAACAAATTCATTATTGTCATGAGACTTAGATAGTTGGTATAATCAAAAATAGTAATAATTGGAGACATTTATTTTTGATTAGTTGATTGTTGTCATAAGTGATTAAGTTGAACAACCATGAATTAATCAAAAACAATAATGAGAAATCATAATGGCAATATTTCAATTACTTGGGT